TTAATTACCGCCTGTAATTGGGAGTTGTAAAGATAAGATTAATTGAATCTGGTGGATGTTAAAAGTTTAATACATCGCAACGCAGCTCCTCTGTTATCGGGAAGCACAGCTGGCAGGACGTGGCCCCTGGAGAGATTAAAAGGGCTCTCGGCCGGGAAGCGGGGTGGCCCTGGGGACATCTGGACCATGCTACTGGCAGTGCCCAGGAGCGAGGAGCACCTACCACCGCACCCCTGGCACAGGCCAGCAGAGGCCTTGCGGTGCCCGGAACCCTGATGCCGAAGCACCCGCCAGCCAGCTACCCCAGGATGGCACAGGCCGCACAGAACCTCACCACCCAAGCGGAGGTGAGTGGACCGAGGCCCGTGTCCTTCAGGTCGTGCTGGGTGGCCACCCTCCCGCTCCAGGTGGCACAGGCACCAGCATCGTGGGAGCAGCCACAGGGGCAGTGAGGACGGACACACAGGCACTGGCAGCAGGAGGAGCTGCCCAGGGTGCACCCCAGGGCCGATACCGGCGAGGTTGGGGAGACGCCACCACCCCCAGGGCTCAGCCCACACCACCCTCGTCACCGCCTGCACCTGGCACCCACTGAAGCCTCCCTGACCCCGGGCAGGGTCTGGCTGTGCAGGCAAAGACATCGAGGAGTAGAGACTTGGGCTCGCTGAAGCTCAAGGCAGCTCGAGCGTCTGCCTGGAGATTAGCAAGCAACTTCTCGGGCTGTAAAATAAAGTCAGCTTTATTGGGCACCGCCATGGGGAGCTGGTTGGTCTCGCTCTCTGGGAGCCCAGTGTCTGTGACAAGGTCAAGATGCATCACCAGAAGCAATCTGTTTCGCCTCCTGTGGCCCCAGGTAGCCCCATCTGCCAGGCAGCAGTGGCTCCTGCAGGTCTCCTTGACGTTGCCCGCAGGGGGCCGCAGCCCAGACCTCCCCCAAGGCTCGTCCCTGACAGCCTGGGCAGAGGGCATTTCCCCGTCCCTGACCCCTAGCTCCTCTGCCTCGCCAGGGCCGCCAGCCCAGTCCCACCCTCCAGAGCAGCTGTGGTGAACCTATGGCACGTGTGCCACGGCAGGCTGTTTATATCACTGAAAGCTCTAAGAGGTTCGCCATCCTCGCCTGGACCACTCAGGTCCCAGTGCTGGCCCCTTCTGCCTCCTGTTTCTGAACTCTCCTCAAAACCCTGGCAGACTCTGAACTAGAAACTTGTAAACAGTCCATTCTGCATCTTCACCAAGGCATGGCACCGGTCTCCCTGGCAGCCACTGCAGGTGCCCCCTGGCAGGACACGGGAAGCTCAGGACTGAACGTGGCACTCTGGCACTGCCGTGGGGCTAGGCCAGGTGGCATTTGCCAGCTTCCTTTTCAGAAAGCACAAAGGGCTTCAGGAGAAAATGAAACGTGCTCAGATGAGGTGTCAGGTTCACACGCACAGGAGGGGCCCCAGGAGACAGATAGCCCGGGCCTGTCATCTTTAGCTGGGGACAAGAGATGTGTGACTCACACAATGGCTGAGAAACAAAACTCAGCCCAGCAGGCCAGCAACTCAAAAGGCTGCAGGGCAACGCATGTGAGGCGGAGCAAGGATGCACTTCAGACAGAAGGTTCCAGAAGGGCTGCATACAGAGGCACACATCTGTCAGCCCAGCACTCTGGGAGGCTGAGGCAGGAGGATGGCAAGTTGCAGCCCAGCCTGGACAATGTAGTGCCTTAGTGAGACCCTGTCTTAAAATTAAAAACTAACTAAATAAAAAGGGGTGGGGATGTAGCTCAGGGAAAAGGCCATGGGTTCCATCCCAGCACCACACACACAAATCACCCTCAAGCAGAAGTGATGCCTTGAGTCTGGGAGGAACGGTACAACCCGGGGGAGGCAGACAGTCCCGGGCGCTCTCTGCCTTTCCGGGCCTCTTCTCTCCTACTCTGAAGCATTCAGAGCAAGGAATGCCACCCCTCCAATAACTGCCACCCCCCAAAAGCAGAGCTGAAAGCTCACAAACCTGCCCGAGGGACAAAAGCAGGGACTGGGGCATCTCCACCGCGGCCGGGACCTGGAGCAGAGCATGATCTGGCTGAGCCACAGCCTGGCCTGGCCAGGAGGGGACACTGGGGACCCACCCAGTGAGGCGGCACCCACTGTCAGCCCAGCCACGCGGGAGGCTGAGGCAGAAGCCCTGAGGGCCAGGCCAGCAGGGCAACTTGGCAAGTACCTGTCTCAACAAAAGCAGAAAGAGGACCTGAGCTGCTGCGTCAAGAGCCTTCGCAGAGCAGCCGTGCGTCCTCGCCCCAAGGAGCGAGCGGCCTTCCCTGCAGGCCAACAGGCCACACATCCTGCTGTCACGCTGGCCTGGGAAGTATCTTCCGTCCGCTGCGGAGGATGCTATTAATAGTGTAATTTTCTTGGTGTTTTGTTTATTCCCCTGGAATGGCTTGATGGATGTGAATAATTATCAGACTATAAAAGCCAGCAAATGTGCTATTTTCTATCGCTCTAAATCATCAAACAAATAAAGTGTGAAACAGCATTTTTGAATATAATTTTCCCCTCTAATGGCTTAGAATTATTATCAAGAACAATGAAAATAAATAAGCAAATGCCTTGTGAGTTAAATGAGTGTGTCAGGAAGAGGAACACAGATCGTCCTGGGGAGCAGGGACCTGCCGGCAGCCATCAGTCACAGGGCACAACGAGCAACAGGGCTTCCGGCGGTGTCACTCCACACCCACAGCGAAGCGCTACCCGGGCGGCTGCCGGCCACCTCCCAGGTGGACCACACCTCAGCCATGGCCTCCGTCTGGGGACTTTACTCTGCCTGTCCCTTCCAGGTGGAAGCCGGCCGGGCCAGAGGGGCTGAGCCCAGGGTCAGGGCGAGATCTGAGGAGGGGGACAAGCGGAGTCACCCCACGGCCCCTCAGTGACGGGCCAGGTCTCTCAGGTTCCTGCGGGTCAGGTCAGGACTGCTGTCCTCTGTGGCCCTCGGCCCTGCAGGGATGGGGACCACAGGACGGGGACTGTCACGTCCCAGCCGTGCCCCCCGGCAAGGCTCGCGGCTCTGTTCTGGTGGCGACAACAGGCAGGCGGCCACAGCAATGAGGTGGTGGCAGTGCTAGCAACGCCATCACCACATCCTCTGGATGAGAACAGGAGCCAGGGGCAGCCTGAGCAGAGCCCACTGGAAACGTCAGCTGGCCTGGCACCGGCGGGAGGGCGAGGGAGTCCACGTTATGGCGTGTGCGCGGGGAGGAATGGGGACACGCGGAAGTGGGGTACACATACCACCCCCTCTGGGGACGCCGACGCCCCATGCCCAGGTGCAGCCCCGGCAGGACGAATCTACCCCCCAGCCCCCTAGGCCAGCGACACCTCTCAGGGCCGAGTGACAGACACGTCGCCGCAGCCCTCAGACACAGAGCCCAGGCCGAGGGCGGTTCCAGCTCGCGGCTCGGTGTCTGCAGCAGCCAAGCTGGATGGCAGCTGCTCCTGCAAGCGCCTGCTGCAGAGCCCTGGCGGGCGGCTCCCTGCTCTGCTCCTGAGCCAGGGCGCAGAAAGGCCCTGAGAAGCCTGGGCCCGAGAAGCGGGGCCCGCCTGACCTCCCTCCCGGCACCCGGAATCCCCGGGTGACCTCTGTGCGTGGTGCTTTCTGTGGGGTGGGAAGTCACACCCCAGGAGAGCTGTTCGCAAAACACCAGCACCACAGGCCGGGTCGGTGGGCCACACTCCCTGCCCCAGGAGCTGGGCGGTGTCGCCTGGGCTTACGCACGGTCACACAGGCAGAGCTGGGAGTCCTGGGGCGTCCAGCTCAGAGCCAAGACTTTGGAAAGCGCCCAGACCTGGCGGTGTTACTGGGAGCACCTCTTTCCTTCCCGCTCGGGGCCAGGGCCCAGTTACACCGGATGCTGCAGGAGGGGGACGAGTTGTTACTGAGCTTTCCTCAAAAGTCCGGCATCTTCTGCTGTATGTGCGGTGAGCGTGTGGAGGGGACTGGGGCGGAGCCCACCATCTTCCCTCTGAGTTCTATCCCCAGCCTTTTGTTTATACTTATTTATTTATTCTTTGAGTTTTGTCTCAGTCATTAAGTTGCCCGGGCTGGGCTCACTTTCGATCCTCCAGCCTCAGCCTCCCTCTGAGCCCAGCTGTGGCATCTGATTTAGGTGGATGAAGGAAAGGAGACAGCAGGAAACACTAACAGACAAGAACACACAGAAAATGACGCACCAATGTCAGGAAGACTGAGAGCTTTAGATAAAATATCAGTGAAGTGGACGCAGAAGGGCACTGCAAGACTCAAAGGGTTTTCTCCCAGGGCCGCACCGACCTGTAAAAACACCTGTAAAATGCCGCGTCGCTCGGCAGGAAAGCCCTCAGCCCACCAGGACCAGGATGGCCTGTCCAGTCACACTGGACGGAGAGGCTGGAGAGGGCGGGGGAGGAGCCTCGGTCAAGGGGCGAAGGGAGCAAGGGTGGGCCCCAAGGAGGGACAACCTGAGAACCAGCAGGGCCTCCGGGCCAGGGGAGCCCACCGCTAACTGGAGTCCCTGCGACGGAGGCACAGTGATCCCTGTGACAGGGAAGATGGCGCCTCTGAAGCAGCGGGGCGGCCCGTCCCAGCGTCACAGCGGGACGGGGAGGGAGGACAGGGACGAGCTCCGGGGCCCGGGCACGGCGAGTCGCACCCTGGCATTCTGCGGGGCACAGCCTTCTGACCTCGAGCGACAGCCTCCCCACTTCCTTCGGGGCCAGCCACGTGCGCAGAGAGCATCCCGGTGCCCAGCCTCGAGCCCTCGGTGCGCAGCACAAGCGCTCTGGAGATAGTGCAGATAGTGGCCTGTTCCCAGGAAAGGGCCTCACTGAGCCTGCGGCTTTATCTCTAATGGATCATTTCACGAGACAACAGGAGATGGGATTTGGTATCTCACACCAGCAGCTCAATGATCTCAAATAATGACACTTTTATTGAAACACACAGATCGACAGAGCCCTGGGCACCAGGGCTCGCAGGAAGCAGGGAGCTGCAGCTGGGGACGGCCACCGGGGGACAACGGGTAAACTGAGCTGCGGGGCGATGGGCTAACTTCACCAGGCAGCCAGGCAGGGCCTCTCCGGACCAGGTGCTGCCCCGCCGGCCGGGGCCAGGATGGTGGCATCCCGAGGTGCTGAGCTGGTGAGCACACCAAGACAGAGGGATGGGGCTGATGGGTTCTGTCCCAGCTCCGGTCCCCTTCGGGCCCACAAAGTATTTCCTATGACAAGATCGGAACCGCGAAGTCACAAGTGCACCTGTGTTGGATGGTGGCTTCCCGCACCCCTGTGAAAGCAGGGTGCGCCGGGAGAGATGCGGTGCCCAGCGACAGCAGAGAGCAGCCCCAGCTGCCAGCTGCACCCAGAGGGGCCCATGGGCCATGACGCAGCCTGCACACAGCAGCTGTGAGGCCCCATGCTATCCGCCACCTCACAAAGCACTGAGGTGGGAACCCCAGGCCCACACGGACCCACGGCTGCACGGCTGGCTGCTAATCAACACCTCCTGCGGCGGCAGTCTCATTTGTACCTGTGGGGACCCTACCCTGATTTACTTCCGTTCACACAGAGGACACTTGAACAGAAGTCTGCAGAGAGCATGGAGTAGAGGAGGGCCCTGCTCCTGGAGAGAGGGGAAGAGAGGCTCCCTCTGTCAGAAATGGGGAGCAGGTGACTGATGTGCACCCCAGGAACCCAGGATCGGGGCCCCAGGTGGAATGGGAAAGCTCCGTCCGGGGTCACCTGCTGGGGCAGAGGGCGACCAGCGGGAGTGACGGAGGCGGTGGAGCAGCCCCTGGGCAGGCAGCGCCAAGCCCTGCAGAGGGAAGCAGGTGGCAGCAGTGGTTGTGGCAGTGAGGCCCAGTCCCTGGAGTTGCTCGGCCCGTGGACTTCCGGTGCCTCCACGGCGCTCAAGGGTGTCTGTCATGCGTCCTCCAACACGCGACGCAGGGGCCACGGTGGTCCCAGCTTGAGGCCAGAACTGGAGGTACGTGGGTCACACTCCGCAACCCAGGTCGTGACCCCATCTGACCTCTTGGCCGCCAGGCGAGACCCTGGGACACGCACGGCCCTGCTCCAGTACGGAGGAGGCTGGGCTCCCACAGGTTCCGTTCGCTGGCGCAATCAGCTCGGGAAGCAGCAGCCTCGGCCTCGGCAGGGAGGCTTCAGAGCAGGGCCATTAGCGCGGCTGTCGCGGCCGCACTGCAAGGCGCGAGGGCTCATCCCCTGCTGCTGGGGAGATGGCACACGGCGCCCGACGTTTAAGCAAAGATAAGAGGATCCTTGCTCACAGATTGCAGCAATCTCCCTTCTGGGGGCCGTACTCGCAGGAGAGACGTTTGCCATGGAAACCAGACCCTGCCCGGGAGCCCCGGCCTCCCGTGTGCACGGTGACGGGCGGGTGGCTAAGTGACTGGCGGCCAGGCGCCAGCCTTCTGCAGGGGGAGGGGTCCCGCAGTGCCCACGCCCCCACCGCCTACGCCTGCAGACGGAAGGGAGCCCAGCAGTGGCATTTCCAACAGGACTCGCTGTCCCTCCAAGGTGGGGCAAGGGACTCTGGCTCCCTGCCTGGCGGGTGCCTGTTTGGCTCCTGCTCCCCAAAGCAGAAATCCCACAGAGTCCCCGCACCACCAGCCCGCATGGCCGCCCAATTCCAACGCCAGAACACTCACTTTTCTGCAGCGTCGGCCATCTGCTCCTGCAGGCCACTCCAGACAGGACGTCAAAAGGCGGTCTGGCCAGGGCACCAGGGGTGGCAGTGCTCAGAGCCTGCACCCTGCTCATCTCTGCCCAGGACCTGCTGACCTGGGTGCGGCCGGAGCCACCCCACCGCCCAAGCTCCCGGGCCTGCAGTGCTTGGGATGGGGTGGGGAGGGTCGGCTCCCTGGGCCACGCCCCGCCTCCTACAGCCTCAAGACTGCCCAGGGCCCCTGCCCTCCCACCACCACCTGGACCCACGGCCAACTCTACTTCCAAAGTCCCTTGCCGTAAGGTGTAGCCACACAGCCAGAAATGATGGGCTCCAGAGCCTCCCTCTGCCCCACCTGGACACCAGCACCCGGGCGACCTCAGGAGCCACACCTCGACGTGGCAGGTCCTGCTGGCCTGGGTCCTTGTGCCTGCATCACCTCCTCTACGGCCCAGGGAACCACCAGCATCACACAGGGAGCGCATGTGGTCATTCCTTGCCTGCACTTTCAAACTGAGTCCGCCCTGGCCCGGTGAGACACCCCGGTTCCCAAGGCTGAGTGACGGCCCTGGCCACACCCTCAGCCTGCAGGCCTCGGTCAGGCTGGAGCAGCAGGTGGGAGTGCGGGCTTAGGTGGGAACGGGCGGGCACTCCAGGTGCTCCCATCCTCGGTGAGGTCCCATCAGGCTGGACGCTGCAGTCCTAGGCTGACAGTGGCCAAGAAACGCTGACATTGGTTGGACCTTGAGGATTGAATCCCACTGACAGCTGACACCCTTCCCCTGTGCACCCAGGGAAGAGCCCAGCCGGCGATACCACGGTGCCTGCCACTGAGCATCCCGCCAGCCTTCGCCCTGACATGGAGCTGCCCTGTCTGCGGACGTCTGGGCCAGGAAAGGAGCACCGCCACTGGAGGGGAGGAGAGGCCACAGAAATGCCACCAAGTGTGCCGCCTGGGAGCCCGGCACACGGCTGCTCTCTGCACTAGTCCCTTTATTCTTCTGATCATTAAAATAGATGGGCACGGTAATGCTTCTCTATCATCCCAGGGCTCCAGAGGCTGAGGCAGAAGGATCGTAAGTTCAAACCCAGCCTGAGCCACTTAGTGACCGAGGAAGTGCCTGTCTTGAAATAAAAAATAAAAGAGGCCTGAGGGTGTCACTCACTGTGAAGGCCCTGTGTTCCCAAACCCTGTACAGCAAATAAAGTAAAAATAAAAGAAAACAAAACAAAACAAATATGTTCTTAAAAAGAGAAGCGCACATCCTACGTGGGAAAGCTGGTGGTGTGGACAGGGGAGATGTGAGAGACACTGAGGCAGGACGCAGGCCCGAGAGGGACGGCAGGTGACTAGGAGGCCAGTCCTCCTGCCCAGCCGGCCAGCGCCGCTCCACACCATCACGGTCGGGAACAAGGAGAGCAGGAGATGGTCCTGGCCCAGAGCAGCCCGACAGACAGGTCGGACACGAGTGGGGCCTCGGCAGAAAGGGGGCTTGGGGGAAACAGCTCTGACACCTCGCGGCCTGTCGTTAGCAACAGCCCCGCCTGGCCCAGTGCCGTGACAAAGCGGGAAAGATGTCACCAGCACAGGGACACGGCATGTGGGGACTCTCTGTGCTGTCCTCCTGGGCTGGCCGCAAACCCATGGCAGAGAAGGAAACAGAATCCCCAGGAACGAGGAGATCGGCAGGCTCTGGCCTGTGGGGCCTGGCCACTGCCCCCGTCCGCCTCACCACCGTGCTGCCTCTGCCGTCCGGGCACGCGGTGGGCGACAGACCTGGGACACCCGCACCCCCGGCAGCACGGCTGGCTCCGGGAGAGCACATGGAGGGATGCTGTTTTCTGGCACAAACACAATGTTAAAACCGTTCTGCCGTCTCTGAACAAACACCAACTGTGACTGTCCCTGCCAGCTCTGGAGACACGCGGAACAGCCACCGACAGGATGGGGAGCCCTAGGGGCTCTGAGGACACTGGGCTTCCCGGCCACTCTGGCCCAGGGTGTCCTCCTGTGTGGGACATGTCCTGGCCCACAACAGCTGGGCACGGCCGCCCGGGGCAGAGCTGGGCCATTAGAGCCGCGCGGGGGAGGTGCGAGAGGAGGCGGGGGCCTAACGGGGCGGCTCTGACTCAGAAGTGCACCGCGTGCTCCAAATCCTTCCAAATTGCCTGCCGTCACCAGACCGCTGCTGCCGGTAATGAGACGATCCCCCCTCGCTGTGTGGAGGCACTCGATGCCCTGATTTGAGCACAGGCTTCAGAGTTAATTCTGTGAACGCTCACCACAGCTTTCGGCCTGTGATTTACTATCCAATCTTGACAAGCAGAAGGCCTGGGCCGGTGTGGGGACAACGGAACAGCGGTGACAAGAGCGAGGCCAAGGGCTCGATGAGGAGGGCCGGGAGGGACCCGGGCCAGGCATAACACAGCTGTCCCTCGTAAGCTTCCGAGTGCCCAGGCCTCCTGGCCGTGGCACTGAGCCGAGCCGAGCCAAGCTAGGCCAAGCTCCAGAGAGCGGGGAGGCGGGCTGCGTGCCAACGCCTGGCTTCACCACCATAGGGGTCGCAGGGCCATCAGCAGGGTCCCAAGGGTCAGATGCACTCACAGCCACCACACGGCCGGACGCCCTCCCCGGTCTGTGCCACACACAAACCACAGGGTGAAGGCACAGAGCCGCGGGTCCGCACAGCACCAGCACGCAGGCTCTCTGGGGGTCGGTGAGCACATGCACTTCCCAAGGGGCCAGAGGGCCAGGCTGCTCGGGAGCTGCCGTCACCGCCACTGGCAGGGTAACAGGACCCGGGCAGGCGACCCGGAAGGATCCCCATTCTTCCGTGGCCGCGCAGCATCTCAGAAGCCCAACAACAACGTCAAGAGCCGTTCCCAGGCCCAACCGGCTGGACACAGGCCCTCAGCCGGCCCCAGCTGCCTGCGCGCAGCCTTCTGTGCCAGCCACCTCCTGAGCAGGAAGGGTACTCTTTCTGGAGAGAGAGGAGCTCCACTACACACCCCGGGCCAAGGACACAGGGCCCACGGGACAGGCTGGAGCCGCTCCGTGGATCTCCCCGCTCTGGGCAGCCAGGCCTGCCGGTGCAAGCCCCGTGGGACCTAGGACCGTGTTCCCGCTGTCCAGGGAAGCAGTCCCCCACGCCCTGCACGTCCCCACAGGAGACACCCTGCTCTCCGTGACTACCCTCTGAGGCGCTCACTTGCTCTTGCCTTTCTCACTGTGGCTCGCGTCTGTGGATGAGGAAAGGGACTCTGCCAGTGTCCCCGGTGAGGGACAGAGGGAGGCCCAGCTTACCCTGTCCATCACCTCAGGTGCCATCTCTTCCCTCTGCTCTCCTCTACCCTCCAGAGGCCAGGACGGGCCCACTGAGGAGCAGGCGCTCCAAGCCTGAAGTCCCACGTGGCCAGCAGAGACTCCACCAGGCCCGACTTGGGCTTCCTGAAGGCCTCTGGCCCTGCCCTGGTCACTGGACGAGGCCAGGTAACAAGCGATAGGGCACCATCCCAGCTGTACCACACACGACAGGATAGGAAGCCACCAGTGGACACTGCCGCCAGCACAGGCACCTCCAGCACAGGTCCTCGGCCAGAGCCCCAGGAATAAGCAGGGCAGTGTCCCGGTGACCCCAACGGCAGGGCCAACAGGGGGAGGTGAGAGAGCTGCTCAGCCCGGCCGCCCAGCTGCCACGTCGCCCTGACACACGGCCTCACAACCCAGCAGCAGCAGGCACAGAAAGGCCTCACAAGCCCCTGCAAACCCACCAACGTCAACGCTGAGCGGAGCCGCCAAAGCAGTCACAAACCGCGCAATCAAGCTCCTGCCGATGTAAGAGGCTCTAACTAGGGAGACAGAAAGCACACAGGCACGGGCACAGCTGCAGTCCCATCGCCAGGAACCCAGCTGGCCCCCCGGGCTCAGGAGCGAGAGAAAGGACGGCTGGGCAGGGGCTGCTGCTGTGGGGGCCACGGGGCTCTCTGCAGGTGTCCTGCGCAATCTGGAGGGAGGATGGCTCAGGTCGAGGCGGCACCGGGTCACAGGGACTCCGGGTCACGGAGCCACCTAAGGACCCTGTCCTCCTGCAGCCCTGGCCAGGTAGAAGCGGGGACCCCGGGCAGGTGGCCCCAGGCTAGGGGGCAGGGCTCGGGCAGGGCCTGGGGAGGGGGTGCTGAGGGAGGCCCCTCCCAGGCAGACCCCTCCTGCAGGTGCCCGCTGTCCCCAGCGCTCTTCCCACACTCAGTCACGGAGGACGCAGGCAGGGTGGAGGCCGCAGCTGTGCACAGCAGCAACAGGCAGGCGAGAGCCACAGGTGACAGAGGGCCCCCGAGGCACAAACCAGGTCCTGCCGGAGTGCCCACACTGCCCACCGCGACACTGTCCCCGGGACGCGACTTCACCCAGGCGCCGAGAGGCCACAGTGAGGAGGAGCCAAGGTCCCGGAGGGCTCCCTGGGCTTTGCCCTTTGTGGTCTTTCTGAAGGAGGAGATGGGGTTCTCTCCCCAAGACCTGAGCCAGGTAAGGGCTCAGCAGAGGGGCTGCTTCCCCAGCACCACCCACCTGTGCCTCCCTCCCTGCCACCCACCCAGCAGCTGTTAAGGAGGGAGGCTGGTCCTGCCCCCGAAACCACCATAGGGACGGCGGTGCGGCACGGCGGTGCAGGAGCGCCACCTGGTGGCTCTCAGCAGCAGGACAGTTCCCACCGCAGGCAGGCAGTGCCAAGTCCACCCCACACACAGGCACACACACAGCTGCCCCTGTGTGGCCTGGGTGCGAGAACCCATCTGTAGGAGCAGAGACTGAGCCCAGCTGCCACCTCGCACCACGGGGACACTCAGGGGGCAGGGCTGCACCTACCACACTCCCCCCACCCCAGGTGGGTCTATTCCTGATGCTAGGGATCAGGGGAGTGGGTCAGGCAGCCGGCACCCATCACTGGGACACCAAGGCACCGTGGCCACCCTTTCCATGCAGGACCAGACAGAGCCACCACGTCTGGAAGTGCCCCCCGCCGTGTGCAGCTCAGGGCCACAATGCTGAACATGGTGCTTCTGGTCCCTCCAAAGGCTGACTCCAGCCCTTTTTGGGGCAGAGCCGACACCACCCCATGATTATCTCATCAAAGTTTTCCCAGAGAACAAACACCGCGTCTACCAGTCTCCAAGAGGAGGGACAACAAAGCTACAGAACACCACCACAAGGAGTCCGGGCTGAAAACACTCTGGGACGATAACAGGATTCCAAGAGACAATGTCCCAGCTCAAGCAGGTGCCTATAGCCAGCAAAGCAAGAACCAGAGCCCAGAGGTCCCCGCTGTCCTCCCAGGGACCTGTGCAGACATCACCTCCAGGGAGAAACTGCAGCTGGGCTGAGTGAAGGACTCTAAGGGGGACCATCCTGACCACCTGGACAGAGTACCCCCCCCCAGGGTCCCCTGAGCAGGTGCAGCAGAGTGAGAGGTTGAGAGAGGCTGAAGACAGCGCTGCCGGCTCCACAGACAGAGGATGGGGCCATGAGCCAAGGGCTGTAGGCGCCTCTAAGAGCAGGGAGGGGACGGGGTTCTCCTGGAGCCTCGGGAGGAGCGGCCCTACTGCTGGTACCTGGACCCAGGCCCAGGAGGCTGGCTCAGGGCTTCTCAGCTCCATGGCTGTGAGACAAGAAGTCTGCACGGCCACACCGCACTAGGCATACGAGACGTGTTACAGCAACCCTGCGACACGTGTGCCAAGCCCCATGCCGCCAGCCTCCCCGCCCCGCGCCTGCCTGGGCAATACCCACTTGCCACAGCAGGGCAGGGGCTCTGCCTCAAGAGAAGCTGGGGTGGAGGCAGGGTAATGGCGCAAGCAGGAGAAATGGTCCCCACTGGTGCCTCTGCCCCACTCCCAAGCAGGGCAAGGCGGTCCTGCCAGCTGTCATTGGAAGGGGCTGGCAGCAAAGAGAGATACAGCCACCACCTCGGCTTGACAGGGCTCCATACCTGCACATCCCAGTCACCGGGACCTGGGCACAGCGCCCTGCCCCTCCCCTCAGCACCTCCGGTTCTGCTGTGGCCCCTCCTAGCTGGGACCGTGAGGTGACAGCCCTGAGACAGCCGGGGACAGGAAGGGGGCAGAGTCCCCACACAACAGCTGTGGCTGGCACCATCCTGCCCAGTGACACTGCCTTGTGGCC